CCCCCCCATATTGGCGCCGGTAACAGGGCCCCACGCCCGCCAGGAAAGCGGGCCATATCATCCGTCGGGCTATTTTCATGCCGGCGCCCGGGCCACACACCCAGGGGCTTCCGAGAGCCCGGGTCGCCGGCACCAACCGCGGGCCCCGGCAATCGTCCGCCCAAACCCCTCGCGGAGTGGCTCACCAGGCCGGTCCTAATCCGGTGGGCATGTGAAAGTACCGGCCTGGTGGCCAGGTCCGCCGACAAACACCGGGCGGCGGCCGCCCTGGCGCGTGTGTGTGTGTGTATGTGTGTGTATGTGCGCTTGTACGCATCCATTTCGGCGGTCGGTGTTCCCGGCTGCTGCGTGCGCGGGTGTCGTGTTTGCATACTCCGTGCCGGGTCCCCTCCTGCATCGATCTCGGCCCCGAGGGGGGACCGCCCGGGTCCTGAGGTCTGGCACATGGATATGCCCCTCGTATCCCTTGCAGCTGGGCTGATCTCCCTGCCCGTCCTAGCCGGCCCCCCCCCCCACCAGACGCTGAAGCGGGGTCTCCGCCCTGGGCGGTGCCCATCTCCGTGGCGGACTTCCTTGCTCCCGCGCCGAGTCCCGTCCGGACCGGTGGGCCCAGTGTGGCCACGTCCGTGTGACGCCCCTCCGCCTTGTTTCCCCTCCTGCCAGGGGTCAGCAGGGTGGAAGCGAGTGTTGGTGGGTGCCCCCCCCCCCCCCCCCCCCCCCCCCCTCCCCCCCCCCCCCCCCCCCCCCCCCCCCCCCACCCCCCGTGCGGGAGCCACTCCTCCCCCACCGCCCCCCAACACCCCCGTGTCACTGGGGCGCCACTCGGCGCCCGCGAGCAACTGGCCCGAGGTCACTTTCTCTTTTCCCTTCCCCCCCTCCCCTTTCCTTTCGCCATGCTTCGCAACATTTCGTCCCACGCCCTGCGCGTCGCCGCTGCGGCCCCGTCCTCCGCCCTTCTGCGTGCTGCGGCTCCCTGCGCCGTCCGCAGCTACTCCAATTCCAGTAGCCGCACCACCGAGGCCGCTGCTGCCCCGCTTCCGGAGATTGTGCCCTTCGTGTGCGTGTTTCTCTCTCCCTCTCTCCCTTTGTCTCTCCCCCCCTCTCCTCTTCCCTTCCGTCTCACACCACCCCTCTGCCATTGGCCACGCAAACACAACCACTCACTTCGTCTCTTGTGCCTCCGTCCCCCTCCCCCTCCCCCCTCCCCTTCTTGCCTCCCAGTGAGCGCCCGAGCTTCCTGCGCACCATCTACTCGCGCTCCGCGCTGAACACCTCCCATGTGTTCCCCTACCCCTCTGAGGTGCCGGAGGAGGCGCGCGAGACCCTGAGCCTGATGCTCGACCCGATCGCGCGCTTCTTCGCCGAGGTCAACAACCCGGCCAAGAACGACGAGACCTCCTCCATTCCCAAGGAGGTGATGGAGGGCATGGCCGAGCTTGGTCTCTACGGTATCCAGGTCCCCACCGAGCAGGGTGGTGTCGGCCTGCCGAACCTCGGTTATGCTCGCCTTGTCGAGGTGTGTCCTCCCCCCCGCTCCCCCCCCCCCGTTGATGTCGCCCTTCTGCCCGTCTGACACCCTCCCTTCCCCCCTGGCCCTCCCTCTTCCCGTGCGCCCGCAAAACTCCGCGGGGGTACCGACCTCGGTCTGGGCATCCACCTCGGTGCTCACCAGTCCATCGGCTTCAAGGGTATCCTTCTGGCCGGAAACCAGGCCCAGAAGGACAAGTACCTGCCGGACCTGGCCTCTGGCAAGACTGTTGCCGCCTTCTGCCTGACTGAGCCCAGGTACATGCTTTCTTTCCCTCCCTCCCTCCCTCCCTCCCTCTCTCTCTCCCTCCATGCCGATCACCGTCTCTGACTATCTTCCCCCTTCCTCCGCCCAGCGCCGGTTCCGATGCCAACTCGGTCCGCTGCAATGCCACCCTCTCCGAGGACGGCAAGCACTGGATCCTGAACGGCGAGAAGATCTGGATTTCCAACGGTGGCCTGGCCGACGTGTTCACCGTCTTCGCGCAGACCCCTGTGGCCGACCCGACCACCGGCGCCACCAAGAACCGCGTCACCGCCTTCATCGTGGAGCGCTCCTTCGGCGGCATTACCCACGGCCCGCCCGAGCGCAAGATGGGTATCCGCTGCTCCAACACCACCACCCTGCGTTTCGACAACACCAAGATCCCGGTCGAGAATGTCCTCGGCCAGGTTGGTTCCGGCTTCAAGGTTGCCATGGAGATCCTGAACAACGGCCGCTTCGGCATGGGCGCCGCGCTGACCGGCTGCATGAAGCAGGTCATTGCCATTGCCACCGACCACGCCAACAAGTGCGTCCGCCGCATTCTCTTCGCTGCCATCGCCCCCCGGGGAGGCCCTTTTCCCGCTGGCCTACTCTGCTTCTCTCTCTCTCTCTGACCCTTTCCCCTTGCATCCCTATCTTTCTCCTTCGCCCCTCACCCTCATCCGCTGGTAACCCGCACATCCACCCTCACCTTTACCGGTCTACCGGCTCGCCCTCCCGCGCGTGCCCACATGTGCATCTGTCTCCACACACATGCAGCCGTACCCAGTTCGGCGATCACATCAAGAACTATGGTCTCATCCAGGAGAAGATCGCCATGATGAACATGCAGTGCTACGCCGCCGAGTCGGTGGCCTACCTCCTGGCGTCCAACATGGATCGCGGCATCAAGGATTACCAGCTGGAGGCTGCCGTGTCCAAGATCTTCGCTTCCGAGGCCGCCTGGCATGTCACCGATGAGGCCATCCAGATCCTTGGTGGTCTGGGCTTCATGCAGGGTATGTGCCTTCGTGTCATCTGCCCCCCTCCCCGCCCCTCCTCGGTCTCCTCGGTCTCTCCCTGCCCCGCTTTCCCCTCCCGGCGCAGGCCCCACTCACACTCCTCCCCCTCCTCCAGACCTGCCCCTCGAGCGCATCCTCCGTGACCTGCGCATCTTCCGCATCTTCGAGGGCACCAATGACATCCTGCGTCTGTTCATCGCCCTGAACGGTGTCAAGTCCTCCTCGGAGACTCCTCTGGTGTCCAGCCTCAAGTCCGGCTCCAAGGCCCTCAAGGACCCGGCCTTCTACGGGCAGGCTCTCGGTGCGGCGGCCCGGCTGGTGCGCTTCGGCGTTGGCTACAACCCTGCCACCAGCGGCGGCCTGGCCCTGCAGTCGGAGGACCTGGCGGTGGACACCACCAAGTTCAAGGCCACCGACGTTCCCGTGGTCAGCCTCAAGGAGGAGGCCGACCTGGTCGAGGCCCAGGCCATCCGTCTGGGTGATGTGGCCGAGATGCTGGTCCTTGGGTATAAGAGCAAGATCATGAACAAGCAGCTGGAGCTCCGCCGCCTGGCCGATGTCACCATCAACATCTATGCCGCGGCGGCGGTGATCTCCCGCGCGTCGGCCTCCGTCAAGGCGGTCAACCGCAACCCCGAGGCCTCGCTGTCCGACCTGACCCGCGTGTCGGAGGAGCTTCGCCTGGCTCGCGCCTTCCTGACCCATGCCACCTCCACCAACGACACCATCCTCCGTCAGCTGGAGCGCCCGATGGCTTCCATCCTCCTGTCTGGCCGCTCGACCACCTTCGACAGCGACATCAAGCACATCTCGGACCACTCCTGCCGCAAGGGCGGCTACTTCCCCACCCACCCGATGGGTCTGTAAGTAGAGCCCGCCCGGTGGTGTGGTGTGCGGCGCGCATCTGTGTCTGTGCCCGTGTCCACTTCCTTTCCCCTGTCTCGCTGGCGTGCGTGCGCGCGCGCGGGGGCCCCCTGCGCCTGGCGGCGTATGGCCCTTCTTCCCCTTCCCCCTCTCTTCCCATCACACGGCACGTGTGCGATCGCTCCGCCTACTTCCCCCTCCCTCGTGGCAATAGATATCTCCTCCTCCTCCCCTCTCCCCTCCAGGCATAGTTGTCCAAGTATGTGTATATGTACGTGTGTATGTGGGCACGAAGGCATGGGCGTGATTGTATGCATGGCAGTTAGCCTATATCTATTCTCAAGGGCAGGGTGTGTCTTTTTTCTTTTTTCCCTTCCGGCTCGAGGTGTGACCGGAGGGGGGGGGGGGGGAGAGCGAGGAGGAGGGACCCGGGGAGAATGCCTACCAGGTGTGTTCGTTAGAGCCAACGGAGGAGGAGGGTGATGTTGGGCCATGGGAGAGGCGACTGGAGGACCGGCTGCGCGAGGGCACGGGGATGGGCTCAGCATCGCAGGCGACTCCGGTATCCGGACGACAGGTCTCCGAACGCCCGGGGCAGTGGGGATTGGCACACACGGCCGGGTCGACCGGATGGGCTGGATGTCCTGTGTCGACTACCAGCGAGCCGGAGGAATGGCTCCTCTCGGTCGTCAGAGGGGCATACGAACTCCGGGAGTCGGGACCCTGCTCAGCTGGGCGCCGGTTGAAGACCCGCTGGCCAATCCAGCGGGCCATGCGTGTCGGCCACAGAGGTCGAGTTGTGATGCGATCCAGACGGAGCCGATGCTGTGTGTGCGTGTGTGTGTGTGTGTGTGTGTGTGTGTGTGCGTGTCAGGGAGAGAAAGGGAAAGAGAGGGAGAAAAAGCGTCCGGTGGCGACAGGGGCGAGGAGGCAGGGCAGGGCCGATGTCGCGAGGACGGGTTTTCCGAGCAAAGCGCGAGCACTTTCGGCATGCGCCTGAACCCCCCCCCCCGCCGCCCCCGAGGAAAGGCCAGGCACACGGGCTGTAACGCACACTCTTGTCAAAGAGGGTCATTGCCACGGCGGTCACAGCGCCAGTGACCGAGAGCATGGTCGAGGCGGTCATCAAGAACATGATAACCTGCTGGTAGCGCGCGGCGTTCATCGGGTCGGCGCCGGCGAGGATCTGGCCAGTCATCTGGGAGGGGCGCAAAGCAGAAGGATCGGATGGGTCAGGAGCATGTGGGCAGGCTGTTTTGATGGTGGTGGCGTGTGTAGAAAGGGGGATGGAGAGAGAGGGAGGCAGGGATGCGAATCTACCGACGCACCGTCCCTGGGATGGAGATCAGTCCCATGACGCTCATGGCATTGAGAGTTGGTAGCATGGCAATGCGCAGGGCAGCCACCACCAGTGGCTGGGCAGTCTCCCAGCGGGAAGCCCCAAGGGCCAGATGCCACTCAAGGCGCTGGCGATCCTTCTCCGCCGAATCCAAGACGTGGTGGACGCCAAGAGCCACGGCAGCCATGGAGTTGCCGACCATCATGCCGACGGTTGGCACGAAAAGGGCCGGCTCCCAGAAGGGCGATGCCCCGAGCGAGAGAACCGTCCCGAAGATGGAGCACGACAGATTCGACAGGACAATGGAGCCGGCCACGATCCAGAACATGTTTTTGATGCGTCGTGGGCCCTTGTTGAATGTGGTCTCCAAGCTGGCCAGAAGCATGAGGAGAGCTTCGATCGATGGGGGAGGGTCACAAGGTGGGGGAGGAGGTCAGAGACAGCCGGCATGGCATGTGGCAGCCAGTGTCGAGGAGGGGGATGCTCCTCTGGATGTGAGCAGTTGCACATACAAGTCAGGCCGAAGACCATGTAAATGTTGTCCTCCTCAAGGACCGGCGTCAGGATGAATCCCATGAGGGTCAGCTGGAGGGCGCAGCGGATGGCCGAAACAATGACCCCAAAGTGCAGCTTAAGACCAAAGGCGACCGATAGGAGAACTGGCAGGAGGGTGTGAGCAGACCGGGTGAGCAGCAAGGGATGCGAGAACGTCACCGCAGCATGCGACTGGCAATGGGGCGCACTGTTGATGATGAGGACCGAGGCGGAGATGCCCACGCCGGTCCAGGTAACGACAACCTCGCCGGAGGGCGGGCAGTTTGGATCCGTGGAGCCTGACGCCGAGAGGGCCGATGAGGCCGAGGAAAGCTGCAAGAGGGATGTTTCCAGCAGGGCGGGTGCCGGGCCAGGGACGGGCCAGTTGGAGTCGCCAATGGCTCGCCGGCTTCGGGTTTCAGTGACTGCAACCGGGTATGGGTGGCGGAGGGGGGTCGATGGCAGCGATCGTAAGCATGGGGAGATGGGCAGGATGGGCGGTCAAATGGGCCTTGAACGCACGGACACGGAGGGCATACGAAGCGGAGGTGGAAATGACTTGGCCATTGAGGGACTTTTCCAGAGGGTCGGCATAGGCCCCGAAGTCGGGGCCCGGGGCGCCTGCAACGACTGCCAGCAGCCATGAGACAGCCACAAGCACAGCCGCCACCAGCGCAAGTGCCGTGGCCGGGCTGCCAGTTTTATGCCGAGGGGGAGCCATCAGAAGGGGGAAGCCGAGAACGGTATCTCTTGATCTCAATATCTCTCGATCACTTTCGGTCTTTCACTCGCTCACGCTCACTCTCTCTTTCTCTCGCGATATTTCTCGCCTTCGCAATGCCGAAGTTACGCCCAGTGCATTGCACTGCCAGCTGTGGGTGGGAAATGAGATAGAGGCCGAGGGGGGGGGGGG